TAAAAGGTAAAGTCCGTGGAGTCAAAAGCACAAGTAGCCATGACTTGGATATGTCCAGTTTGCTCTTCTAGCAGTTTTTTTTTGTCTTATTTTACTTTTTTTACTGTTTACTCGTAAATTTTGGACAAGAATCATAATAAAGAGGACCTTATGTTACACCCCATTCATTATAGTCAAAGTCAAAAAATTATTCAGTCAAAGTCTTGGTTAAATAGGGACTTAAATGTAGCGTAAATCATTTTATTGAGACTTGGATCCATCAAATTATTTTATTGGGGTCTATTTTACAAATTTACAATACTTGAGATTATATCATGGACATCATTTAAAATTTAGAATTTAATTTACAAGTATGGAAGTTTAATGACTAAATGTTATGCTTAATTGAAGAAGGGGGATTTTCTTTGCAAATTTTAGTTGTGGCCCATTTAAAAACCACTTGTTCATTTCATTACACACACAAGAAACATATACAAGAATCTGGAAAGTGGAAACGAGGCAGAAGCTAGGAGAATTCGAGAAAAAGAGGGAGAAAAAGAGAGAAAAGAGAAAAAAAAAAAGAAAGAAAGAAAAGAAAAGAAAGGAAATGGAAGAGGCCGATGATTTTTATAAGTTTGGGTTCTTCATTTCTTTAGCTTATCCTTATTTTAAAGAGGTAAGTTAATTAAATTTCTAGGGTTTATGAACCATTCATTTATATTCAAAGTTTAGCAAGAATTAGAGATTATTATTATGTTTTTGAGGTATTAAACAAGAATATATCAAAGGAATGTATATTTGAAAATTTGTGATGAAAAAAATGGAATTTTGAAGGGGGTTGTGAGATAAGTGCTTATTCTTTGATTTTCTTGTGATTATATAATACTGAACACTTAAATTAGGGATTGGAATTTTCCATTTTTTAAGGTAATTTTCGGGTTACTATAGTATAGGTGCCGTTTCTTAAAGTGTGCCCATAATGGTGCCACTTCTGTCAATAGTTTTGGTGCCAGATTTCAATATCTAGAAATTGGTGTCAGATTTCAATATTTGGAATTTTACTGCTGTCTTTGTCAAACCTTTGATTTTCACATTTTAAAGGCTTGAATGAAGTTTTATGACAAGTATTGAGCTTTATGTATTGGAATAAATTATGCATAGGGGTTGTATATGTATAAGTTACTGATTTTAAGGAAGTGTGAGCAATTTAATGGATTTAATAATGCATGGTGTTTAGTTGATGACTCAATAAATAAAATAAAATAAAAGTTGGGGAATTTGAGATGAAAAAGTAAATATAGAAGTTGAGGAGTTAAGTGATGAAATTGTATTAATTTAATTGTCAAGTTTTAATTTGAGTAACTATACCGTTATTTCAGGTAGTGATGGGAAAGTTTGGAAAAACTCGTCAATTTAAGCAGATTTGTATCCATAGATCTGTGAGTGGAAAAATATAAATATTTTTAAAGTATTTATAAATTAAGTAAGTTATCAAAATATTTGCAATTATGTGGATTATTTGCTTTATTATGTGATTACGATGAAAGTTTCTTTTATTATGATCCATGCGAAATTTCAAGGATTATTTATTGTACATTTATGACTTGGTATATGAGACATGTGATATTGAGATTTGTTTAGCATGTGAAACGTGATATTGAGATCGACCAGAAAAGTACCTGTGATTATGTACTTCTTCTAGCTCATAGAGGGGTCTTGGCCGTGTTCTATACTACACAGAGGGGTCGACTGAGGATGAATGGGTCATGATTGTGTAGATATAGTTCACTGAGGGGCTTTGGCCGTGTTCTAAAATTGATTATCAGAGGTCTTGAGACCCGTTTTCGTTCGTGAAAGGGCCAAAGGCCAGTGGCAAAAGTTCTTAGCTCGATGGGCGGATTACAGATTTCAATCAGAGGGTACATTTTTGATGGATTTTTTAGTACATTTGATGTGATGAGATTATAACATAATTACCAGCTTATGTTTATATTATGAATTGAAATGATATTTTACCACGTTATGTGAATGTCTCACGTTTTGGCTATAATTATATCATGTTATCTTGTAAGTTATTCAATGATATGAACTCGATTTTCGATAAAGATGTAAAATTATAAAAGTATAATTATTTTCGAATTTCTCCACTCACTGAGTTATCAACTCATATATTTTTCCAACGATTTTTCCTATAGGTAGCAATTGATTCTTTTTAGTTGGAAGAGACTAATAATTTCGGAATGAGAGCCACACGACATGTTAAATATTATAACTCATATTGATGAAGCACAAAGTAAGTATTTTGGGCCCATCGCTTTATTTGATTTTGTTGCATTTTTTGAAATAACTCATATTCAGCTTTGGTGATAGATTTGACATCTAGTCAGCATCTATCATTGGGGCACGTCATGTTTCGGATCCATTAGGGTGATTCGAGACAGGTCGTGTCACCTTACACAACAATTTTTTGGGTTTATTCTATGGCCTGCCTTTTACCAAACTAAATCCTGATTTTGTACAATCTGTTGAGAGCCAATTTTCACCCGAAAGCAAGCTTTTACTTGTTTGTCAAGAGGGACTGAGGTAGGTTTCTCACTTGTTAGCATTTCTTCCTGTTTGATATGGATCTTTAAGGGATTGTCACACTTTGCTTAGAGTTTATAGCTTATGGCAATAGTACAATTCACTAGAATCAAGCTTGAGAATCCACCGCAAGCCATTTCCCATTGGGCTTGAGGGCCTGATCTCATGTGAGAAGAAACTCAAAATCGTTTGTTTTTTGATTTGGCAGAAAGTGTCTCTATGGAAGAAGTTTATGTAATATACAGCTTCTTCTTTGTAAGGAAGATCATTGCTCACATGTTCACTGTCTTCTTCTACTGTGTTGTACTCCCATTGACAATTTTGGTACCTGAAGTTGATGTTGCGAAATGGGGAGCCATTTATATTCCTTGCATCATCACAGCTCTAAACTCAGTCGGAACTCCAAGGTCAGTTTTTGTACCAAATGAAATGCTGAATTTGCAGTAAAACTGCCACCATACTAATGAAAAATTCTGATTTTTCAGCTCTTTTCATTTATTGTTTTATTAGGTCTTGTTTGAGAACATGATCTCTTTTCACCGTACCAAGGCTACCATCATTGGTCTGCTCGAGGCTAAGAGAGCTAACGAATGGGTTGTTACTGAAAAACTCGGAGATGCTCTCAAGAACAAGTCCAACGCTAAACGAGCACCAAAGAAATTCAGATTTAAACTTGGAGACAGGTAAACTCACTCTTACTTTCACTTTGACACAAAACTTGTCGTTTATCGATTGAAATTAGCTCTTGGAACTTAGATTTCAAAGCTTCTATAGATTGAAAAATGTCTTCCATATTATATGGTGCATGATCCTTCGACTATTATGTTATTGTTCTCACGGTAAATGACAGTAGATTGACTATGAAATTTACGTGCAGTTCAAAGAATGTATATATATATAAACAAGTGTTTAGGGCTGGTGGACATATATAAAATCTGTTTATATAAGATTAATGTGTATCTTTTTGTTTTGTAATTATTATGGGTTTGTTGGTAATCAAATAGACAAATATTTTTAAAAAACTAAATTAACATTTACAACGTGCATATGCATGCCGTAAAAAGTGTAAACTCACTATTTACGGAGTGCATGTGTACGCCGTAAAAAGTGAGTTTACGCTTTTTACGACGTGCCTGTGAATGCCGTAAAAAGTTATTAACGGCGTTCATTTACGGCATTCTTTGCACGTCGTAAAAAAAATCTTCCTATTTACGGCATGCGGCCGCACACCGTAAATGGATTTTTACGGCATGCATTGAAAGCAGTAAAAAGTCCATTTTGTTGTAGTGATTGTTCTGATTGCCTGTTTTATTATTATTATTATTATTATTTTAAACTAATAAATATGGCATAGTTATTAACAACAAAATATAGCAATGGATAGTGGTTTGGTGCGAATATTTAAAAATTGAAATCATTCTTTAAACTTTGGATATTTTGTCATTTGGTTCAATGTAATTTCTGAAATTGGTGATTCTAGTTCAGCAGGTTCTATTTCGCTTATATTGTTTACCGTTTTTGATACTTGTGAATAAAAAATATATTTGACCAACATAAATTATAAATTAAACTTTGTCAAATATGCACTATCATTTTCTTATTTTGTCATTTGCTATGGCATAATAGTACTTCCTATATGAAGAGTCTCTTGTTTAAGTTAAAGTCAAGAATTAATTTTAATGATACTTCATGGACTAAAATTTTTTAATCACATATTTTATTAATTTTATTAAAATCTACTTAAAGTCAGATTTTCTCTCAATCAAACATGGCTTAACATAATACACAAAAATATGTACTCAGTCATGAGTTTAATTCTACTTATATTCTTTTCTATTTTTTTTTTAAAATAAAAATTTAACTAGTACAGTCAGCCCCTCGCCTCATTTAGGAATGGCAATCGGGCTCTTAGACTCTGACCACCCATGGCTCGGCCCAGAAAAAGTCCAAACCGGCCCATGTGGCTCACCAGCTCGAGCTCAAAGGCCTAATTTAAAAAAAAAAAAAAATTAAAGGTAGCACTCAACTGCCTTTATCTATAAATAAAAAAATAAAAATAAAAAAGGCACCCAACCCTGCTTGGCTCAATAAGGCTCGAGTCGAAAGTTTTGGTCAATCCTTGATTTCCTGGCCGAGCAAAAGCTCGGCTCTGGCTCGACAAAAAAACTCAGACCATTTTACTCAAGTCGAGTCCGAGCCTCGAGTTTTGGCTGGGCTCCTTGACACCGCTAGCCTCATTTGACTTGTTGCGGTGGAAAAGTAATTCATTTTAATTTTCTAAACTGTATAGCATGACAAACATCAAATGACCAAAATGCCCACAGATGTATTATAGGAGAATTATCTGTTCCTTAATTACATTCCTCAATGCACCTATTTGAATAAAGAAGATTTATAACTTAACAAAAACTAATATTAACTTCTAATATGTATGGAATAATTCGTTTGTCTGCAATCAACTTTTCAGTTCTTAAAATTCCTTCTTAATTTGAGTATAATTGGACAATGGAGTTATTTTTCTCAACAATTCTTAATTATCAAGTTCAAAGAGCATAGTGAAAATGCAAAGATTGACTAATGAATGATTTCATGCTCAGTAAATAGTTGAATCTTAGGTCGAGTTATTTCCAATCAACAAAAAAGTTTGTGATGCTGAATTGGATGACCAATAGGTAAGAGAAATGAAAAAATATCTTTTAATCCATTTTTACTCATTTAAATTTTAGTCATCCAAAATTTCATTTCAACTTTGCTCTTACTACTGTCATTTTTGTAATAAAGTAGTCTACAAATTTAATGTTGATCAAGATAATTAATCGACAAAGAAGAATGTATAGTTATCTAGCCTGAAGAACCCAGCCTAAAAATTTGCATTTTTGAAGATAAAATTCTCTTTATACTACTAAAATTTGCTTTTACTTTGTACTTCAGTGAATTTCATTGTGTCTAAGTTGATATTGTTGATGATGTTTAAAGATGATTCTGTGATTTTGATCGATTAGCCATTGCAAAATAATATTTTGCTTCAAATTAATTAGTTAACATAGAATTATTTTGTTTCACTATAACAGAAGTAGCTTTTTACGGCATTCATTTACGGAGTGCGTGTCACGCATGCCGTGAAAAGTCTGTTTTTATGGCACGTTATAAATGTGTGCCATAATAATTCAATTACTTAAAGTATTTATGGCATACGTTTAGGGATGGCGTAAATGGTCTCTTATTATGGCGTAATTTTCGAGCATGCCATAAATAGCTTATTTTTTGTGACGTACTTATTGTACAACGTAAAATAAACCAAGTATAGCGGGATTTTTCCTTTTTTCGTGCGTAATCAGATTTTTCCTTCCAATTCACAAATAGTCCAAGCCCTAAACAAAAGAAAACTAAAACCCGTTAGTCACTCTCACTACAAGAAATTTATACTCACCCTACAAATTTTGTATGCGGAAATCAATTTTTCCCGCAAAAAAAAAAAAAAATATTTCGTACACAGGGGCAGATTTAGGGACGTGCTGTAGCACATACTTACCCTAAAAAATTTTTGGAGACAAATTCAAATTTCGTATGTGGAAATCAATTTTCCCGCAAAAAAAAAAAATTTCGTACACAAGGGCAGATTTAGGGACAGGCTGAGCTCTGCTATAGCACGTCCCTCCAGCACAAATGTTAATTAAAAAAAAAATAAGTAAAATTTGTTTTATGTATGAATTTTTTATTTTTTTGCGTATTAGTCAGTCTTGAATTTTTTCTTGGATTTACCCATTCGTATGGCTATGATTGGCTTCAAATTTTTCAATAATGGGAAGATTTGTGCCGACAAAAATTTATATTTTTTCCGACAAAAATTTTGATGGGCAAGATATATGTTTTACCAACGTAAATATTTAACTTGTTCGTAGGCTAATAATTAGCAAAAAAAGATATTTCTGATCTTTGTTTGTATATAATTGAAAAGAAAAAGAGAGAAGATAAATGTAAAACCCACATACCCATGCAATTCCTTTCCTAAACTATTGCCTCCAAAGATTTTTCACCGAATTTTTCTTCCGTCTTTGCCGCTTCAACTTCGTCGATCGGTGGCTGTGAAAACTAATTCCAACTTGTTTAGCCTGAAATTTTCTGGTAAATCCCGTGGATATGGTCCCAATTTCTTCAATTGACATGAATCGATTTTGGGTCTACAAATTCCAGTCAAATCTACTACAAATCTTGAGTTGTTCTTCAAGCCATCTTCAAGGTATGCCCAATATCCTATTTATTTGTAAATTGTGTAGAAAATATAAGTAAATAATCTTGAATTTTGAGATATAATTTTTCGATTTTTTGCAATGGAAAAGTGAATAAGTATGGAGTTGTTTTGTGTATAAATTCATCAGTCAACTGCATCATTTTTTGTCCTGTTCCATTGTTTTAATTATATATAAAAACATGTGGCGTGCTAAAATTTCATGTTTCTTAGGATTATTGACGGTTAGTACTTGGTAGAAATTGTGGTATTGCTGATTCGTGTGTGAATCTTATGAAATTGTTTTGGCACATACAATGCACTTAAAGATCAAGATTAGCTTTTTTGTTCGCTAGGCTGCACCTTGAATTTGAGTTACCAATATTTGAACTAGGTATGTATGAGTTCATATCCTGGAATAAATTTGACATCTTCATTGTAGGACCTGGTTGTATATTTAACTCTGTTTTTTTCCCCCACGATGAACTGCTTCCTTAAATTTATCCTCCAATATATCTTTGATTTTTCGTATGGAAAGGTTTAGCCAGCCAGAAAGGCTTCTCAGTAATAGTATGCTTCTAATTTTTTATTTATTTTTTTATTAAGAATAGGAAATAGCATTTTTGATGTCCTAATATAATCGTTTTTCACCTATTTCAATTCAGGTTTGAATTAATTTTTTAATAACTTAATAGTGTTGGTATATATCATCATGGATAATGATTGGGTACACTTATCAAGATTATTTTGTCCTCTTAAATTTAGAATATTTTAAAATATATCAATGAAAGCTTTTTGGATGATTTATTTAGCATTTTTTTTAATAGAGATTCAGAGGCATATCAACATGGTGCAAGAAACTTTGCAAATATGGTGCAAGCCAATGCAAAGAATCCAGAAAAAGTCATATGCCATTGCAAATGTTCCAGAAACTAATTCCATCAACATTTGATAAAATGTAAGGGCATTTGATCATTAATGGCATAGATCCTACGTATACTACCTAGGTGTTTCATGGGAAAAAATCGAATGCATCATCATTGCCTTCTCAAGTTGTAGAAAATTTAGAGATGTATATAATGAATAGAGATGCATTTTTTTCAAGATGACAGTATTATAGAACCCGAAAATGGAGATAGAGGGAAAGAATTTTCAAATTTATATGACGGCGTTGATATTCCTTTATATCCTGGTTGCACAAAGTGTACTAGGATATCTACAATCGTTGTCTTATACAAGCTTAAAGCTACACATGGTATATATGACAACGATTTCAATGAACTTCTTAATATTATCCTAGGTATGCTACCACATGGGAACACCCTTCTTGATTCTTGTAATTCAATGAAAAGGTCATTGAACATCTTTGATTTGGGGTATTAGAAGTTACATGTATGCGTAAATGATTTTTGTTTGTTTAGAAAGGATCTAGAAAATTTGGAGACATGTCCAAAATGTGTATCTTTGTGGTGGAAAGTCAATGATGCCTTAAGTTTATAGTATTAATTGATTTTGTAGGAAACGAATGAAAGATTCAAAAAGATGAAAGCAAGTCAAACCATAATGCATACAACAAGTAAAAAGGGCCTTGCTCGCTTAGAAGCTGAAGTGGAAAAAATTTATTAAACTAAAAGTTAAATTTTTTTTTTTGAAAAATTATAAATGTTTACAAACTATCAAACATATGAAATGTGTAAAATGCAGCGTGCTTAAAGTGAAGATTCTGATTCCATAACGAGGGATGATTTTTATATTTGAGGACATACACAAAAAAAAATAGTGAACTTATTAATGAATCAACTGGGGAAACATTGGTAAAAATATTGCTTTTAGTAATTTCTGACCATTCAAAGCTTATATTTATAATTTTAGCCCGTTAATGTATTTCCTCATATTAGAACAAAATAAAAACATATTCAGAGATAGTTATCTCGCCAAGCAAATACTCCCTCAAAGATAGTGTTATTGCAAGAGTACTTGCTCCAGAATGTCGAGGACAGGTAAAATGTCTTGGTTTCGATACAACTCCTTCAAAGTTGAATGCTTTGGTGCACAATCATAATTTGCAAACTAAGTCTAAGAGTTGAGAGATTAAATTAAAGAGTTAAAAGCTTTATTTCAAGTGAAGAGTAAAAATGTTGAACAAAAAGATAATGTAAATGAAAAACTAGAATCAATGAATATTATTCTAAATTACATATACTTTCTATATTCAAAATAATAAATTGTATAATTAAATATGAATTTTACAACCTAGAGACAACAACTTGAATGGTGTAGATAACCTTCTAAATAAGAAATGCAAATTGTTGTCTTGGTTTGGAAAAGCTGATATTGCTGCAAAAGTTGAAACCGTATCAACAAATCCAAGTGATCTAGTGCATCATGTACCCCTTGGTAATAAATGTTGGAGAGTTTGGATTAATGAAGTGATTAATAATGTTAGCTTATATTGTCCAACATGTGAGCTTTTTCTTCTTGAAGAGGCATTAGGAAGTACAATTGCATGCCAATTAGGTACATCGATGTGGCTTCGCTGTAATCACAACAAAGGTATGCTTAACTTCTTTTCTATTTTAGTTCTATTTACATTTACGTTCATTCTCAATTGAAGATTAGGTTGTTTAAAATCAAGAAGTTGATAAAGTGGTTTATTTGAATTGAACATTAGTTTTTTATTTGGCTACCAAAATGATTATTTATATAAAATGACTTAAGATCATGACAACATTTGAAGGAAATTACCTTAGTGATTGATGCTTATCTTCGTAGTTCTATTTTCTTTTTCAAAGAGTTCTCCAATTATATGTTGTTATGTAATTCATATGGACTTCTTCACATGTACCATGATGAAGTTTTGCACGGGGTAGTCTTTATGTGTTGATGTTTTATGGATCTATATTATGTTAGTATTCTAGTTGTACCCTTAATCATTTTTTTGGAAGGTGTGGTGTTTATAGATGTATTTCGGTTAGAGCTCATATGTTAATCAAATTCTCTTCGCAGTTTTACTAACGATATATCCTTATCATTTTTGTGGTGTTCAAGGAGTTGATATTTTGTGCGATAGCTAAATTGTCGATCAAAGAAATAAACTTTGATGTGGTTTAATCACTTTTTTATGAAGTAGTAGTCGATTTTGGAATTTGCCTAATGGCTATTATCGTGAATTTGGGATGGTGAAATTGATTTTGGAATTTGCCTAATGGACATAACAGCTTGAGTATATTTTAACCAATGCATTTTCATTTAAGAGGCTAAGCGCTCTGCTTTTGTAGAAAGTACAATTGTCCTTCAGGGACATCTTTTGCCTTGAATTTTTATGCCTTTTTTTTTTTTTGGCTGAATACAATGCGTCATCAAAAATTTCTTTGGTACTTGTTGAGTTTTATTTTTTATATCGTAGATGGTTGACGTTAGTATTTGAATTCTTGCCATTAAAATTTGAGTTTATGTTTGACTATCCAATTTCTGGAATCTATGGGGCATGCTTCCAAATTTCTCCATTTTATTTCCTTGTACTACTATAATTTTTGAGAATTGTTGAGATGATTTTACACTCACATATTTTATTGAATCGTACTCAATATTTCTATTTATAAATTTTGTTTTGTAATTATTATAGGTTCGTTGGTGAAGAAATAAATAAACAATTTTTGGAAAATTAAATTGATGTTTACAGCCTGTTTAGGCGTGCTACAAAAGTAACAAACTTTTCATGGTGTGCTACGAATGCTGTAAATTCCATAAAGTTTTATAGTGTGTTTAGATGTATGCCATAGATTTAATACTTTATACAACTTGTACTCAGTGAATGTTGTAAAATGTGTTAAATGTATTGTGTGCCACTGAACGCCGTAGAATTAATAACAGCATTCTCTATATGGCGCACAATGTTTGCCGTAAAAAATAAACCACTTTTTACAGCATTGCTTTATACGGCGTTTTGTCGTACGCTGTAAAGAGTTATTTACGGCATACAATTCATTCCGTAAAAAAACCACTTTGTTGTAGTGTTTGGTCTATCATTTTCTGAGGGCATAATGGTAATTCAATGTGAACGACTTTACTTTACTCAAAGCAGAAAAATGTTTGTTCAGATTCTTCAGTCT